AAAAAAAAAAAAAAAAAAAACTAGCACGCAAATTAAATCAATATTTTATTGTTTCAAATTAGAGTACATCTCAAGATCGGCAGGGCTTTACCTCCACATAGTATACTGGTTCCATGAGCCTAGGTGTCGCCATGAGGAAAGCCGAATACGCTACACGTCGAGCAGTTGGAATTATCTGACCAGTTCCACGGTTCAACGGCTCAGGAGCAATTTTGGCATCAACTATTTTGAATTTCACGTTTCTGATGGGCTCATCACAGAGGGGGCCTTCTCGAGCCCCCCATTGAAACCTGTCGAGATTTCATATTAATCAAACTATGAAACAAAGAACACGCAAAGAGCAGGAGGATATAATAACTTACCCTTGAACGATAGAGTCTTTGCATGCATTGAGCAACGCCTTATCCACTTCACCTGACAGGGTATCGTCTAATAGAATATTTGGCCCCTGATAATATAGATATGTGCTAAAATATGAACACTATAGAAATAAAGAGTAGAAAAAATAAAAATGAACTGGAAAACTACCACACAACAGATAACAAACCCACCTGCTTATCAGGACCAAATGCCCAAATAGAGCGCGCAGCAAGCAGATCCCACTCATACTTCGTCTGAAAAAAGTCACCAAGCTTCCTTCTTGGCCAGTCAATATTTACAACACCATTCTCAATGTCCTCAGCAAGTCCTCTTTCCAGTGGCTCAGCAATCTGGAAAATGAGATCCAATAGATAAGTATAATTTCTAGTTTTAAATTTTTTATCAACTGCACTCAATTGCTAGCTTACCATGGTAATTTTGTTTTTCTTGTTTGGAGTCTCCGCATAGCACTTCATTGAAGAGGATTCCACAACCGTTTCACAGAATGAGACAACAGGATCCGCCACCTATTCAACATTCAGATGAAAAGGCAGAAAAGAAATCAAGAAAAATATGAACCTGTAATTTTTAATATAGTGGAAGAGATCATCAAGTTAAAAGAATAACATGAAACACAAATTAAAACAGTGAGTACCTTCACTTCCACTTCTGAGTATAGCTCCCTGAGGTCCTTCATTATGGAATCCAGATACAACTCTCCAGTGCCTAAAATAGTGTGTTCCCCAGATTCTTCAACCTTTGTAATCGCCAGAGGGTAGCTCTTGCTGATCTTCCTAAGACCCTCAACCATTTTTGGGAGTTCACTCGGATTTAGAGGCTCGGTGGCAGTTTTCACCACCGGAAGTGTGTTGAACTGGAGGGGTCTAAATATGAAAGCGTCTTCCTCAGTTTCAATGTTGCAAAGTGTGGCCGTCTTCATAATGGAAGCATCCACACCTTCAATAAGAACCCAAGATCCTGGCGGAGCCTTGCTTATGGGAATCCTGTAACGAGCCTGATAGACCCACAATTTTGTTATCTCCTTTACAGTCATGTCCTCCTCATCATCCGGGGAATACCCTTCTCCCAACACACGTACAGTCTGGCCCGCCATGATTTCCCCACTGTAAACCCTTCCAAAGGCATCAAAGACACTGCAATCCGATTTCGGATAAAGTTTTGTCACGTTAACCATTACAGGACCAGAGGGGTTACAATCCTCCATGGCCGAGTAGATTGTGGAATCCTTATGCCCAGTGTAGATGTGCTCGACCTTCCGAGGTGCAGCTTCTTTAGCAGATGGAACGTGGTGAACCAACATGTCTGTAAACCCAGTGGCGCTACCGAAAACCGAGCTACATGCTAATCTCAACAGTGGCCTAACATTCAAACGATAAGCAGCATTACTCAAAGTCACACCAAGTTCAGCGAGTGTAGCTTCCACACTCTTCTTGTGTTCACCAATCACTTGACTGTATATTTTGTAAAGGGGTTCAAGAACAAACTGGACAAAGGACCGTTCGGCACCACTGGCCGGCTGTTTCTTCTTGAAACCTCTTGTGTCGGCATCATAATAATAATCGCCCCAAAGGCGAGAAGCAAACTTGTTAGCATCAAATGGGACGCCATGCAGCTTAACGTATAGCTTAGCAAATGACTGCAAAGTGAAAGACCATCCTGCAGTTGCACTTGCGAAACAAACATTTCCAACAGCCGGGTCAATGACTTGAACATTGCCAGCAGTAGAGGATGCCGCAGTTATGTGGCTGTTTATGACTTCAATTGTGTGCCTTAGCTTATGGTAGGCATCTTTTGGGGGTAACTTCAGCTCTGTTATCAATCTATCGACCTGATTATATGAAATATATAGATAAATAACTAGTACATGTTAAAGAAGAAACCACTATGGGCAAAAAAAAATTAATGACATAGCAGTGTTGTGAATGGAGGTAAATTGCGGCAGGCCTAAATCCCGCCATGGCGGCTACCGTTGAAGCCTATAGGGCCGCCATAACCGCCATCCTTCACAAATTTAGCATGGAAATTTGTCAAAACTCCGCCACGCCATACCGCCATGACCGCCATTTCATAACACTGACGCATATGATAAAATTGAGATTTATATTAATCACCTTGTTTATTACAACCACAATAGGTATCCGTTCCTGTATCGCATGGCGTATTGCTCTCTCGGTATTTACCTGTTAACAAAGAGGAAATTAAATGCATATAAGCAGTGTTCGCAATTGAGGAAAAAACAAAAATAAATAAATAAACAAACAATGACAAAAATCATCTCCAACAAACAATGACTAAAAACTAGATCTCTCCAACAGCAAGGTCATCTTGTAGTTAGTAGTGACTAAATCAATTCATTCAAGACCAGGCATTCACTTCACACGCCATCTACCCACTAATTTCATAAAAACAAACAATGACAAAAAAGTTCCTCAGGTACATTCTTTATGAAGGATTGAGATTTTGTCAGCATTCTCGACTGAGAAGAACTACACAAAAAATGTAACACCACTTATTATGGTAATCGCATCATCATCAATAAACACATGGACAAAATGTACATACTTTTCAAATATTTAATAAAAGAAGTATTACCATAACTCCTTCTGCAGCATCTACAATCAGAACCGCGCCATCCGCAAGCCTAAGGGCAGCAGACATCTCATCTGAAAAGTTGACGTGACCAGGCGTGTCCATGACATTGCAAAGGTACGATTTTGAATTACTGTCCTCCAGAACAAGAGACATTGGGATTGCCTTTATGGATATCCTCCTTTCCTGTTCGTCTATCCTTGTATCCGTGTACCTCATGTGTTTCTCGCTCTCCTGATCAAATGTCGAAATATGATGAGTCTGCTCAACCAGCATGTCCATAAACGTAGTCTTCCCGTGGTGCAAGTTCCCGACCAAGGCAACATTCCTAACCAAGGTGGGGTTTGACATGAGTCCCAAAAGAAACTGGGTTGACACATAGGTCGACGAGTCCTTAACCCCCAACTCAAACTTCAAATTCTTCACGGGCATAATGATTGGTTGCTCAAGCGGCTGCTCATCTTCATCCATGACTAAGGTCTCGACCTCCTCACCGTAGACCTCCTCGGCAGTTGGGTAGTACTTCTTGTCCTCGGCCAGGACAATCTGACCATCCATCTCAACATCTTCAGAGGTGGTCAACCATCCATTTGGTTTTCCAGGTCCATGCTCGTCATCGGACGCAGGTTCCTCATCCTCAGGATTATCAGGGAGCTCATCATTTTCCTCCTCCCTGTCGCTCTCTTGATCAGACTCGATTTCGGGCCCAATATAATTACCAAACTCATCGTACAAACTGTCATCCATGGTTATGGAGAGCTGCAAAAGAATTTGAAAGCAAGCATCAACCTTTTCTTAGCCAAAAAACACGACATATGTGTTTATGCATGAATTTAAGGTTTTGCAACAACTATTGAGAATTCTGGATGCAGTAGAGTCTAATTATTGTCTCCGAACATACAGCTAGGTTCAGAACTCCCATTAAATAAGGCACAACCAGGTCCAGGAATACTGACAACGAAAAATAGAAGCACTTGTTCTCGAACTAACTTTTTTTTTTTTTTTTTTACCTGGGCCGACCTTAGGCGGGCCTCCCAAGTGCAAAGGAGGTCGCCAAACAAGGTGGACCTTGAGAAAGAAACACAAACACACACGCAAACCGATTCAGTTCGGTTTATCGATTAACCGAAGTTAAAAAA